CATCGTCATCACGTCCGGGAGGGGCTGCTGGATCTCACACGACATGTTCACTCGCCAGGCGAGAAACATTTGGCTGCTCTCCTCCATGTTGGCCCTGCCAGCCTTCGCGGTGATCAGCTTTGCCTGTGAGGTGCGGCTTTTGGGGCACAGAGTAGATCCGCAAATTTTGGTTAGCAAGCATGCTACTAGTTACTAGTAGTAATGCCCTTTGTTCCTAGTAGCTTCTTGTTGCTAGTAGTAAGGCCAGGAGCTACTAGAAGCATCCTTGCTCCTAGTAGCGATGGCCTAATGAATGTCGATGACATGGATCGTGAACAACATTTTTTGTTTGTTCCATCCAACACTCCTGGCCTATTTGCCCACACTAGGGTGGTTGGAGGAGTCTATATAGGGTCAATGTAAACATGCCATGGATTGTAAGGGTGTCTTGGGAGTAAGTCTTTCACCGGGATTTAAAATTTGATGGCAATTGTTTTTCCGGGAGTTTTGTTTGCATTTCCGCTTTCTGCTGTTCTGCTTCCCGCTTCTTTGCTTTTCTGTTTCTTTGCTTCTTCTTGTTGCTTTTCCACTTTCTGTTTTTTTTGGTTCGTTCCCTTTTCTGCGTGTTTGCTGTTCTGCTTCTTCGCTTTTGTTCTTTTTGCTGAATATATCGCTTCTTTGCTTCTTGCTTTTTGTGTTTCTCTCTCTCTCTGTGTTGTATGCAATTTGCATGCGTGTTTCTTGTTTGTTACTTTTCTTTGCAAGGCAAGTTGTTCTGTTTCGTTTGGGTTTTCTTGTGCAATTGTTTTTTTTTGTGTTTAAACTTTTTGATTTGGTCTTTGGTTTCTCGTAAGGCCCACCTGCATAACGTTGACAAACATGTGACTGAACGTGCCGCCTACACGCCGCAGCAGGGGACATGACATCCCATGCCACAGCATTGCAAAACACTAAAAGAGATCCTGCCAAAAGCAGGATCGGTGGTCGTGATCTAGAAGAAAGAGGCATAAACATCAAAAAACATGCCTTCCCTAAAGGAAAAAACAACTGGCAAAGCATCCCAAACCAACTTGCGAACTGTCGACAGGTTTGCCCCTCTAGGCCCTTCCAGGAAGTGCTAGAAGGTATACAGGTATCCACAGAGGTAAAATAGACAATTGAATTCAAGTGGCACTTGTGTGAACCACCCAACAATTGTATCTAACGCGCTGCATGCATTGAATTATGAATTCATGTGTGCGCACTCAGCTCGGGAGGGCAATCTCGTCCAAAAAAAGTTTTGTTTCGAAGACAGTTCTTTATTCGCTGATAGAGACCGCTGCGCTTGTGAAATGGAATATCATCGTATGGTCATTCCAACGGGGAATCTTTCTCTAAGAAAGGCGTCTCCAAACGAACATAGTGTGGATAGCATTGGTTAAGGAGTGAGGCATAATCTCGAACAAGTTCAATGAGTTTCGGTGAATCAGGCAGGGTTGGCCTAGAGGCGATACCTCCCACCGTACTATGCAATTGCACCATGCTTAAAACAAATGTCATGTACATATGTGGACCAAACATTTGTTTGATTTTGACATATGTTGATTTTCACTAAACAAACCATGAAACATGGCCTATCCTTGCTCTGCATCGGTGGATCCGCTTGAGTTTGAGGAACAAAGCAACAGTCGACTTTGTAGTTCCACGGCGACTGTCAAACTTATTGGACTCGTTTGGACTGGTTGGGTGTTCTTTTTCCCATTTGAACTGGGTGATTTGATTCACTGCCCCAAACGACACGGAACCCGTCTCAGGCCTTCAAGCGGGCAGGACCTGAACTCTGGAGTTGGGGAACTCGGTCGATTATATATGGTGCAAAATTTGCACGACTGAAAGATGGTGCAAACATCACAACTTTGTAAAGTTATGTTAGATGCTATTTTCAAGGAACCTATGTAGTTCAGGAGCCAGCTACAGGCTGCTCATCTACTACGGGCGAGGGATGGCGAGGGTGAATGAGAGGATTTCAACCTTGCGAGGAGCCCTTCAAGTCAGTTGAAGCAGCTCGATCTTCGAAGTTGTACATGTGTGTGTGTGTGTTGCGTTGTCTCTCCACGGGATGTATGTGCAGTCCAAGAACATGAGTACTTTGCATGTGAGCGCGCAACCCCAAATATGTGCAGCTGACTCCTAAAACCAAGCACGGCTGTACGCATGGTCGCAGATTTGGTTGGGAATTCTCAATCCAGGAGCAAGAAGCTACTAGTAACAAAGGGCATCGCTACTAGGAGCAAGGACGCTACTAGGGGCTCCTGGCCGTACTACTAGGAGCAAGAACGCTACTAAGAGCAAAGGGCATCGCTACGTATTTTAGGAACAGCTGGTCGGTCCAAGGTGGGTCCCAAAGATCACGCGGGGCAACGCTGAGCCCCCCAACCATAACTTCTTGTTCCAATTCTAATAAAATCCTAATTCTGATTCTTAGCTTCTTGTTTCTAATAGCAAACATTGTTACTAGTAGTATGGCCAGGAGCCCCTAGTAGCGTCCTTGCTCCTAGTCGCGATGCCCTTTGCTCCTAGTAGCGTCCTTAGCACCGCGGAATTGATGTGTGCGACATTCGCCTCGGACCTTGGAGACACAGCCACCCAGTGGGCCACCCTATGAGACGTGTGAGTTTGTGCAAGCTCAAGTTTGCTCCGCAGGAAACCGCTTCAGCAAAGAGAAGGAACTCCCATAGGTTGGGCATGTTTGGCTTTCAGTCTGGCAGTTTGTCAAACACGGACAACGGGTTGAAGATTTGGGGGTGATGATTGTTGTTGCATGCTGGTATGAAAAGACTAACAGTGACAGACAATCAAATGGCCCTCAAAGGTTGTTATTACTCTAGCGTACTCTAGCTACATTTGGCAGATTTCACGGTTTCACGTCAACCTGCAACTCTGGCCACCAACCTTCAATTGTTGGTTAGTTGTTTGTTTCTATGGGTTTCTGCTGCTGATGCTACATGCCTCTCTTGCAATACTAGTGGTCCTTTTCGATCTACCGAGAAATCTGAGGTGGATAGTACCCCATTGTCACACCTGGGGTCCTACATTCTATTACATTGTCATGGCTTTCCATGTTTTCAGATATTTTCAGATTAACTGGAGCATTGAAGTAGTGGAGAAGGAGACTTGTTCCTGCACCTTGGATATCATGAATCATGAATATCATAATGTACTCACTAGGGGCTGGCATCGCTACTAGGAGCAAGAACGCTACTAAGGGCTCGTGGCCTTACTACTGGGAACAAGGACGCTACTAGTAACAAAGGGCATCGCTACTAGGAGCAAGGAAAAAAACAACTTCTCACTCAGGAGCGTTACTGTAAAGTCTATAGATGTTGCAAGACTTTTTCCAGGCCCTTTCACCGAAAAGAACCGAAGACCTACGAGTGGGTCCTGCAGGTCGCACAGTTGGTCGCTCCACATGATTCCCACCGTGGCATGCTGTGGACGAGTTTTTGCACAGCTGGGCCGACGCCAGGCAGAGTGCAAGCTGAACGCCTGAATCATCTGGCAGCTGGCTGAGAGGGTGAGAAACTCTGCGCATGTTGAAATGATTAATTAGATGAGGTTTTATTGTTGGCATGGCCAAGTCAGATTCATTGAATCGATATATATATATATATTATATATATATACAGATACATATATTGATTGGTACCACGAGCTAAGAGGTCAGGAACATCTAGAAATGCCCTAGAGACCAAGAGACAGAACCACTCACCACATTGCATACCACTTTCACTATATTCCTTGAAAGTTGTTCATGAATGAGGATCCTCTCCCAAATTCTTCCCCACCAAGACCACAATAATATGATAATTATGGCAAATGCTGCGGCGTGTTGTTCCGTTCATCAAAGGCACACATGTTATGTCCTAGTAGCGATGCCCTTTGCTCCTAGTAGCGTCCTTGCTCCTAGTAGTAAGGCCAGGAGCCCCTACTAGCGTTCTTGTTCCTAGTAGCGATGCCAGGAGCCCCTAGTAGCGTCCTTGCTCCTAGTAGCGATGCCCTTTGCTCCTAGTTGTCATGTTCCAACAGATCTCCTCAGCTGGCGCCGGTGATGCTTCCGTCGCTCAACGGGTCCTTCGACCAAAAAGCGGCCGAAGCGCTCCGAACTGGTCGGGCCGTGTCGGTCGGAGAGTCACGGAGAGTCACGAAGTTATAACGCAAGAGGCAACCATGGTGCAATCACGTGCGGTGTCTACTTTAAGACTCAAGGTTTGTGGATTGTTTAAAGATGATTAAACCTTTTCTTTGGTGCTATAGTCTTCATAGTCTTCAGATTGAGTAGTGTGGAGATGCAACAAGGAGTGTCTCAAAGTCATTCACGATCACGAAATTGGCATGAGGATGCATCGCCGTAGGAGGTTCCATAATGCTTGGTCGACTGCTTGGTCGACTGAAGACTCACCTTGGGGTGCGGAGGCGCGAACTCACGTGCGCAAGTCGTAAGACCCATCGAGACCCCAATAAGCTACTAGGAACAAGTGCCACGCTAGTAGTAACAAGTGCCTTACTAGTAGTAACAAGAAGCTATTAGTAACAATAAGCTACTAGGAACCTAGTCTTTACGTTTGGTGTCGATGAATGTGCAGGGCCGCTTGGGCGTCCATGAGGACGGAAGCGAGTCCAACTTGAGAGACAGGTCCAGTCAACGCGGTCAAGTCTTATCTTAAGTTTCTTTTGAGACAATCTGTGAGACAGATGGCTCAAGGGAGAAGTACGGAAAGGACAGACAGGTAAGAATGCAAGGCGTGAAGCACAGTAGAACTTTAACCGTTTTTCTATTTTCTTCACTCCTTCCAAAGGATCCCATCAGGCCTCAAGTCATGAGAACTCAACTTGCTGATGTGCCGATCGAGTACTTCTACACCCTCATTGGCTGGCTCGAGAGGGTGAATGCATTGCTGCCAAATCACGTGATGACAGGATTTGCCGTGAGTTTTGCGCTTGGGTGTTTGCTGCTGTTGCCAATTCTCTGCATTGTCTTGAGGATGGTTTGGGCAATTTCAAGAGTTGGACCTGCCAGAAAGACCATGACAACCTTCTTTATTCTATGCTTGGGAGTGCCATTGTATCCTGTGTTGGCAGCCCTCCTTTTGGCATTGCTTTGGTTGGGGATAGGGTGTTCTATGCTCATCGTGTCAAGCTTTGGCCCTGCAGCGCTACTCTGTTGGCTTATGGTGCGCTTATGGGAGTTTCAGCAGGAATTTCTCGAGGTCGAAGAAGAAAGGAAGAGCGAAATGCAAAGACGCAATGAGGTGGTCGAAGATATTAGTTGCTGGGAACTTCTTTGTGGATTGTTCATAGGCATCATCAGTTGCTGCAGCTTCGGCATGTCCCTTAGGCAACAAAGCACGTCTTGTGAAATGAGTGAGTGAAACACATGAGTGAAAGCATGATGTGTAAATGCTTGTTTGTGTACATTTCATTGGTCCCCGTCCCCACCAACCCACCTCTTTATTGCGGCAAAATTCGGGAGACATCCAAGCCAAACATATCACCCAAAGAGGTACGTAATTGCAGCACGTTGCCAGTCCTGGGTGGAAGGATCAAAATCGACCTCGGGCAGCCATGGGCCCCTGTTCAAAGCCTTTGACGCCAAATGATTGACAACATTTTTTTGAGACACAGGTGTTGACGAGACCGGTTGTTTTCAAAGTGACCTAGGTGGCCACACTACTAAGAATTATAGTTTAAACAGTGAGCTGTGAGACAAGTGTTTTTGTTCCCAGGTTGGCACTTCTGCTGACCATTTTGAAGTCGCCCTTTGTGATCATGTCATTTGTGCTGCGGTTTATGTACGAGTCTCTTTGCCGTTGGCTGGTGCTGGTTCATTGTCCCCATCGACCGTTCTGCTCAATGTGTGCTCCACATCGCATGGTTCAGATAGGGGGCGAGGACAAGACCATCCAAGACTTGCGCTCGGAGGGAGTCTCTGCCAAGGACTTGAAAGGCCTCGGAGTCGATGTAAGTGATTTGTATGCTGCAGGATTTTCCATCTCCGAGCTTTCAGAGGCAGACTTCAGGTTTGGGGACTTCAGTCGGGCAGGACTGGAAATCGACTGGCGGTGGCATGACTACGGTGGATGCAGCTGGTGGGGATGGTTCCCCCCTCATTTTCTTAACATGGCTGAGTTCTCTTGCGTGCCTGATCGTCATGCTATTGCTGGCTATAGCTGTAGTGTCTTTGGCGAAGCTGATTGTGGCCGTGATCTGGCCAGCCTACATCTCTGCTGGGTGGTTACGCATTGTGGCGCATGCAAGGAGGCGACCCAGTGCAAGGACCTGTTGTGAGCCATTGGTGCAAGGCTTGAAAGCAGGTTACCAAGTCGTTTGGGCCAGTTCTCTCCTCACAAACATTTGCATCTCGAACCGGACTCTACAGGCAAAATGGGAGCTGGTTGAGCAAACGGTTGGTGAGGGTCTTGAATTTGCCAAGGGTGACCGTGCAGAATTGTCACCCGAAATTCGAAGCCTTTCACTGTTTCCGCCAGTTTTGGTGGGACTTTTTCACAACTCCTGGGACTTGTCTTTGCGCACCTTGGCGCATCGCTTGGGAGTTTCACCAAACATGGTCCAAGAAGCTTGGCGGGGTTTGGCACGTCAGATGATGTGGTTTTGTCAAGCAGCGGTGGAGGAAGGCCTTATTACGGACGAGTGGGTCCAGGAGGTTCCGGTGGGGCTTTGTATCGGTCTGCCGGCACGTGCTTTTCTACAGGCGGTTGAACGTTCTCCCCCCCCGCGAGTTGGTGCTTATGGGGGGGCTCAGGGTCAGTGCAGACAGGGCCGCTGAACTTGGAGGCTTTGCAGAAAAAGTTTGGACACTTTTCTGCAAAGCACAGGATGCAAGGAATCAAGTCGAAATCACTCCAGCAGTGCATCGATTGCTTTGCGCAAGGCTGCTGGCCGGGGGAGAGGAACCAGGTACTCTTCCTCCGGCCTTGGCTGATGCTGTTGAACAATATGAGAATCTGTCGGAAGCAACCCATGCTGCTTGCCAACGGGTGCTACAGCCTCTACTGGAATTTGGACTTGCGTGTGGCGAGCAACGCCAATTCAAAGAGAACCTGAAACTTATTATCGAGTCTTTGCCACACCTGGATTCCGAATCAATTCTTCAGTATCTCTATCAAGATCCGCGATTGAATCTGGAGGACGGAAGATCTGAGGGTCAGTATGTATTTGCAGCTCCGCTGCTTGATCTTGAGGCTCAGTATGTCTTTGCAGCCCCCCGTGCAGATCTCGATGTATGATCCAGGCTCATTTTGTCCCTGGTGAAGATTCCGAAGCAGGTCAAAAATGCGGACTTGGATTTGACCGGCAAAAAAAACATGAAAATGATCATCTTCGCCATGTGTCACCCAAGAATAGCATGACCAAACAGGTGGAATCCGTGTTGCGTTCAAAGACTCTGCCAGTGGAATCCAACACCTGCAAAGCTGAAATTGCAATCCTTCCATAATTCCTGATTAGTTCCCCAGATGCCTTTCCACAATATTTGTTGAGAACCAGATTAATTTGTTGTGAGCATTGGTCGATCCGCAAAACACGCACAGGCCATCAACTCTGGTGCCAGTGGCGGGGCAGCCTAGCCGAGTGCTAGTGCATTGATTTGTAAACCCTCGCTCCAACAAACATGGAAATGGATAGCCCCTAGTTCGAGGCTCATAAAGAAAAAGATAACGTGTGAATTGACCAATGTTGGTCATGTTTTTTTTACAGCCTGGAGCCTTTCTGCTATTCTATGTCATCTGGAAACACTAGGTAGGTTCTGGCGAAGGCACCATGCTTGTGTAAGCACGCGAGTCGATTCCACTGAAGGACCAGCTTGAGTATGTTCTCTCGATTTCTCTCGCGTAGGTCGTGATCTAGGAACGCATGCAGAAACAGGCGCAGCAATCACAAGGAATTCTTTACACAGCCCTCCTGAATACAAATGTCGCCCCCCCACCACGCTGAGGAGCAGCAAACCGACATGAAGACGGCGAGGACGTTGCCGTAGTGTCCGCTGCATATGTTGCCAAAAGAGACGCGTGTTGCGAGCGACATCCCTGGTCAGACCCAAACCTGCGTTGATGAGTGGAGGCATGAACACAGAATATGTTGTTTGTTGCATGTTGTTTTAGGTGCAGTAGGTCTGAGTTTGCAACTTTGAAGACAAGGCCATGATGCCACACCAATTACATGTTTTAGACGTTGCACACACAGACTGCATGCATGTTGATGTTTCAGATGTCCAACATTGCATTGCTGCTATTGTTCTTTCGACATGAATTTGCTCCCAAAGGTGCCAAAAAACAGGTTATCCATGCGGAGTCGGGCTGGCCAACACAGTAAAAGGTTGGTACGTGCGGTGGCACCAAGTCATCGACCGTTTGTTTGACCACCTTAGGTCATGGTGGTAGGTCGTGACGGTCACGGTGGGGAGCCATGTTTCATCATGCCCCCAGGCTGCAATAGGCTGCACAGGTCCATACAATATAAAGCCATTAAGTATCATTTAGTAGTTTAAGTGTTTGCTGGCAGGGTTAAAATTCCTCTCACGGAGGGTCAGACTCATGTGTTTGAGGGCAAACATGTAGTTTCGTAAGGGTCTGTGAGATGTAGGTTCTCATGGTTTTTGCAAAACAACCAGGGGTCTTAATGGATGGATGGAACCCCAGATTTGAAGAATTCGATCAACTGGACAACGCCAAAATCCCATGGTTCAGGGTCAAAGTCTTGTGCATTTGAACGTCTTTGAACGCATCCATTCTCATGTTCAAAGAGGGTCAGTGGCTGCCCGACATGCAAAACCGAACGCGTGGATGAAAATAATGACACGCAAAGAGTAAGATGCATATCAAATCAAAATCAAATCAGATCACACCCTAGGGACCCTAGCGTAGAAATGCAAGCGAGAACGGACCCTGAACTGCAGGTCAGAAATAAAAGTGAGCATACAGCGGCATATAAGGACATGCTGCAGCTTGCATGAAAATCATCCGATCAAACCTTCCTCAGGGCCGAATATGGCATCATTACTTAGCATATGGTGCTATCCCACAATAGTGTGACCCCAAAGAATGAAAGAACAACCTGTGCCTCGCCTGTTTTGAGCTTGCATGGAGAAGAAACCGCTTCAGCTTGAATTGGTGTCAAAAACCGAAGTTCTCAGAGGGACCACTCGCTGGACTCTGGCCAGTGCCATGGTTCGCAGGCTCATCTGGGACAAGCGGATTCGGACAGGGACGAATTTCATCTACTACCAACGTAACAAGGGCATCGCTACGAACGGAGCGATCGGACGCTACGAACGGGGCGCTCTCCTCACCGAACGGAGCAAAGGATGCTAGTAGTGTCCTTGCTCCTAGTAGCGATGCCCTTGTTAGCTATTTCTAACTGTTTCTTCCCTCGGTCCCTTGAGTTCTAATTCGAATTACTAATTGTTTCTACTAGCTTCTTGTTACTACTAGTAAGGCACCTGTTACTATAGTAGCGATGCACTTGTTTCTACTAAGCTTCTTGTTACTACTAGTAAGGCACCTGTTACTAGAAGCGATGCACCTTGTTACTAGTAGCGAACATTGTTCCTAGTAGTACGGCCAGGAGCCCCGTTCGTAGCGTTCTTGCTCCGTTCGTAGCTCCCCGAGGGTTTGACTCCCGAGACCGAGACTAGAGCCGTTGACAGCTCCCTTCGCATCTCCCTTCGCATCTCGCAAACTGTGAATGAATTTCTCCATCTACCGTATATGCTATGTTCATTGTTGGTTTGCCTGGTTTGGTTTTGCGGAGCGCACCTGCCTGTGAGCCCCAAGTTCTGATATGTTGTGCCATGTAAAAACAGTCTCGACAGTGCAACATGAGCGATCACCAAGTCAATTATGAAAATCATGTGTTTTTTTCTGACCCAAATGAGCATGGATGAAAAGGGTCAACATGCAAAACCTCCAACACAAAGAAGCAAACTTAAATGCTCAATCTTCTTGAGGAGTTCTCCTCCAAAAGATTCATTTTCTTGATGAGACCATTGCTGCGTCATATAATGTCATACCATATGCATGTTACATGTTTTATCCTCACATGTTCCCATGTTTTGATTTTTTTTTTTTCGCCAGTGTGATTGCCTTGGCTGTGTGTTCAAAAACACTCAGCCTTCCTCATTGATAGTTTCCAGTTTGAGTTATTCTGACACCGGGGTATCCAGCTGCAATCACTAACATAGCAGAAAAAATCCTAGACATTGGTTGCTCTAGTGTAATTTGTCATGAATTTTGGAACCGTCTTGGACAGGTTGGTAGCTGTTGCCGTCGACGCCTCAGGGGCCGCACTGGACAGTCAGGAAGCTGTGAACGCTTGGTTTTGTCAGGAACGTTTGAGATCAAACTACCCTGGAACTAACATGGAAGTGGATGGCGCCCCCCTGTTTGGTATTTGGAAATGGTCTTCCAAGTGGCCATGTTTCACTTCCATGTTAGTTCCAGGGAGTGTACTTCCGTCTAAACCGCGTGGCACTTGGATCATTTTGAGTTGGTTGGTGGTGTTCCTGCTGCGTTTATATGGTACATCATGGTACTATATTGGCACGTTCCCTGATGGGTCGGGGGTGGGGCTGGCGAGACGTGTTTTTTTTCTGCATATGTTTTTTAGTTTTGCCTTTTTTGAGGACTTCCCTTTAGGTGCAACACTAGTGAAATCAGTTTGCCTTATCTCAAGGGCGCAGAAACAGGTGAATAAGAACAATAGAGGTTAATGACTCCGTGTTTCATGCGACCAGCGGTATCCAGCCATTCGACATTTGCCATTGCTCAGCCAGTCGACAGGTGCTGGTCATCGCACTGCATGTGTAGATCTCGGACGATCGAGCGGATGGACAAATACGGCATGCAAACCCGCAACAGAAAGCAACATGCGAAGAGACAAGAAAGAGAGAGAGAGAGGATCGAGAAACAAGGACCAATGACCACTCCAATGACCAAAATATGAGACCTGTACATGTCAAAACCTACATGGACACCTTCACGTCTCGGAAGTCACCTTCAGTCCGCCGACTGAAGCCTTCAACCAGGTTTCACAGCGTGTGCCGACCTATCTGAACACTTCTTCGCGCGCCGCGCGCAGCCGCTCACAGCGCGCCGCGGTGCAGGAAACCGTGCAGGTGACCCGGAGGGGAAATTGGAGATCGAAGTGGGGACAAGCGCAAGCCGCAAGACCTAAGGGAAGAGTCGGAAAAAATCAGACACCAAAGACCTGAAGATTAGCAAAGCACGAAGGCTGTTTCTTCATGTTTCATCCCAGTTCAAGAGCCTTGAGGATTTATGCCCAAGATTACAGAATCTATATAATTGATAAGAAGAATCACTGGGATTGCATCCAAAAACAAAAGAATGACAGGCTCTATCGGTCACATACGGTCGCACGGGCTTTAAGAGACAGTGTTGACCCGAGGACTCAGAATTCCTCTCAGAGGTCAAAGCAGCTTTGGGAGAGAAGGCTGGTCGCTGTGCGTTAGTGAGAAGGGTCCATGAGTCTCAAGATAGTAACAGCGAGTAGAGTGCTCATCGGACGAGGACTTTGGTGGTGAAATACCGTATGTTGTTCAGTTTAATTCAACTATAGCCAATCAGAGGCCGAATTGTTTCATAATTGGAAGATCTACGTGTATATATATATTACTATATATATATATATACGGATGATGCTGCTGCTAGCTGTGTCGTGTGTTGCGCTGTTTCCAGCAGTAAAGCATCAAAGGCCCGAAGGTTGGATTCCTTTGGTTATTTTTTGTGTCCAGGTGATGGAATCCACATGTCAGGACGGGATTACACACGAAGAGCTGTGTTCTAATTGGCTCCGAGCCCATGTCTCCTTCTTGTTCAGTTCCTCAAGTTGTAGCTTGCTGATGCGTAGTTCCCACGGGTGTTTTTGGAGGCTAATCCTTGTATGGCAACAAGTTTTCCAGACCAAAAGATTGAGAAGTGATCACCTGTCAAGTTGCATGGATGGGTTTCTCAGCAACTCTGCTGAATCTTCTGTGACCCATGAACCAACATCTGTTGACTGCCCTGTAGGCCATAAACTTGTCAACACCCTTCAGGAATCGCATATTCTTTCGAAGATTAAAGCATACAGGGATAATGCGTCGGGATGCCTGTTAGACCTTGGGTCCACTTACTGTGTCACATTCACATCCCAAAGCTGAGGACATTCACCCACAGTTCTTGGGGGATCACCGTTGCATCTGCATTGTTTTAATCTCAGGGTGTCGCAGGCA